ATTTGTCTTTTATCAATTTAATCCTTTGTAAAATTACATTAAACCCCCTAAAATCAGTATAAATTCAAGGACTAAAATAAAATTTTACAAATTTTATTAAAAAAAAAAAAATAACCGTTGCAGCCAACGGTAACTGCCAAGTGCCAACGGTTACATTTATTATTTATATAATATAAGTTTTTTTTTTTCATTCCCCCCCCCACAACTACACTATAAATAACCCTAAAACCTTTAATTTTTTTCACACCAATCTCTCAATCTCTCATTCTTTCATTCTCTCAATCTCTCTACTCCAAATCTCCAATCAATTTCTCATTCAATTTATATTTATAATTTATTTATATTATTCAAATTTTTTTCTATTTTTCAATATCATCATAATTTCATATTATTATTTAATTTCTTTTCATTTTAATTATTTATTATTTTATCATAAATTTATAATGTCTTCCCCAAATGAGTTTTACGTTCCATCCACCGAAGAAATTGAAGCCTTCGATCCATTTTCATCATTTCCTCCAGAGGATGCAGCTGTAATTCCACAACCACATTCGGCCGGGACGAGGTGTAGCCAAACACATGTGAGCTGCGAGTCAACGGGCACGGACATAGCCCAACCCCCCCGACCGTCAAAGAGGGTCGTGTCCGATGTCTGGCGATACTTCACCAAATCAAAATGGCCAAAGACAAATGGGGAGGGGGAAGAATCGTGTGGGATATGTAATTTATGTGGAACCATTATTGGGGCTGAGAAGGGGACTTCGACGATGCGACGACATGTAGAGAAGAAGCATCCCCAAATAAATGCATCTTCAAGCGGATCAGGTAGACAAATTCAAACTCAACTTAATTTTAATCCACAATCCTCAACTCTCTCAACATGGCAATACAATACACATGTTGCACGAGAGGAAATAGCAAGATATATAGTTGCTACAGACTCTCCCATTTGTTTATCTGAAAATCCTTTTTTTGTTAATATGGTTAAAACTGCATTTTGTCCAGCATATACCCCTGTTAGTAGAACTACAAGTAGAAGAGATATACTAAAACTTTATAACAAAATAAATAATAAACTTAAAAACGAATTTCAAAATTTTAGGAATATATCTATTGCACTTACATCAGACATATGGGCTTGTAGATCAAAAACCGATTTTTTAACTGTTACAGTACATTTCTTAGATCATAATTGGGGTTTACAACAAAAATTGATAGGTTTTAAACCATTATATGAAAAACATAGTGCTGAAACTATTTATTTTACGATTCTTGAAGTTTTGCAAGAATATTTATTAACTGATAGAGTTGTAGCGCTAACGCTTGATAATGCAGCTGCTAACACCGCGGCAATATCTTTATTTGAAAAGAAATTGGATCCGCTTGGTGAAGGCAAATTTTATCACCAGAGATGTGCTTGTCACATCATCAATTTGATAGTTAAAGTAGGTTTAGATGCTATACATTCAAGGATTGAGAGGGTGCGTAGAGCTATCGGATTTATCGTCGGCGGTAGCAATAAAAGATGGCAGGAGTACGTCAAATATTGTAAGCAAGAGGACCCACCGGTTCGACCTTTGAAGTTATGTACAGACATGCCTATCCGTTGGAACTCTACCTACTTGATGTTGGAAAAAGCTTTGCCAACCGCGAAACAAATTACAGATTTCGTCAACCGGAAGACCTATCCAGAGGAAGTTGTCGATTATGATGATTGGGCGGTTTGTGAACTTTTTTATTCATTTCTTAAATTTTTTTATGATGCTACTAATACATTAAGTGGTATTTATTATCCAACTACTAATTTAGTGTTAGATATTTTAGTTCAAATTGCTAAAACTTTTGATCAATATAGACATGATAACATTTTTAGTGAAATTGTTTCAAGTATGGAAGAAAAATATAAGAGATATTGGTTAGATATTCCATTCTTATATGGATTAGGCCTTTTTCTAGATCCTAGGTTTAAATTATCCGTAGTTAACGGTGTAATTACTGAGTTAGGCCATTATTTAGGACATGATTATACGTCTTATTTGACTGACTTTAAAAACAAATTGGATAGGCTTTTTTCTTTATATGAGAACAGATACAATGCAAGTAGAAGTGGAAGTGGAAGTGGAAGTGGAACATCTGGGAGAGGCGATCAGGACCTTGATGTAGCCCCCCCTCAATGGTCGACCAAGTGGGCGTATGTGGGACGTAGCGGAAGCTCCAGCTCTAGCTCCAGCTCGTACATACATAGACCAAATGAGATGACTCGCTACCTACAGGTGGACTTAACCTTTATGACGATGAAGGAGCAACTTGACATGGATATTCTTCAATGGTGGAACCAACAAGAAAGTCAATTCCCCATTATATCCCAAATGGCACGTGACATTTTATCTGTGCCGGTTTCTACAATTGCATCCGAGTCAACATTTTCAACGAGTGGTCGGATTGTTGAAGACAGAAGATGTTCTTTAACCGATGAGATGATTGAAGTGATAACGTGTTTACGGGATTGGACTCATGGAGAAAGAAGACTACAACAGCACCCTGAAGATCCCGAACTACTCGAACTCTTTAGGAATACAGATTTGAATAATGTAACTAGTGTTGACGATGAAAATGAAGATGAATAATTTAATAAAAAAATTATTTAATTGTTTATTTGTGAAGCGTGAATGTGTGAAATGTGAATATTATATTTATGTTAAAAATTAAAATTAACTATTAATTTATTATTTTTTAAAATTAATTAAATTTTTAGAAACTTACTAATCAACCCCTAAAAAATACTAAAAACCCCCTATAAAATTTCGTTTTGCCCCCAAAATATAAAAAAAAATTGAGGGGGGAAAATTAAATTTTTCAAACCCTATGGGACCAGTCCGGACCAGGCCTTAGGCCTGGTCCGGGTCCTGATTTTTCTCATGGGCCTGGGACCGGTCCCAGGCCCATGAGAGGTCCCAGGCCCATGAGAGACTGGTCCCATTTGGGACCAGTCCCTTTCCCAGGTATAGTTGTATCCACTATGTGTTCAAGAATCAAGAGATATTGAATTCTTTTCTTTCTCTTGGGTTTCTATAGCACTTGTGTTTTACTTTATCTGCATAGAGAGCTTTTTATTTGTATATGAAACTCACATAATATTCTCCAGACCAATTGAAATTAAAGAGTAAGCATCAGCAAGGCACAAAGCAGACTCAAAATTAAGATAGTGTTTGGCTGGCAATTAAACAAAGCATAGATACTTTACTTCAAATCACCAAAAGATGAATAAATAAAAAATATTATCTCTTCCAAGTTCCAACCAATTCCCACCTTTTGAAAACTATTATGTAAAGGCCAACGTAAGTCCCCTTCTGCTTGATGTTGCTTATACAACTGGGCTTCTTGTCTCAACTACAATTCTAAACTATTCAATATTTCTGAAGTTAAAACAGCTGATACCTTGAATTTGGTTTGGTGGCTCAAAAAATTTTGCAGGTGCCAGTTTTCTGCTTTTTCTGCAAAAAAAATTTTAGTTATATTTCTTTTATTCTGACAATGTAATTAAGTTTTAACTTTCCTTTTTTTATTTATTTATTGAATTGAAAGGTTTATGTAAACAAAGAAGATCCAGGTGCTATTTCTTAGGTCTCATTCAAATATCATCTAATAATAGGTAGTCAGTTAAACTTTGCTTCTTTAGTACTTGTAATTTATGCTTATTTATCACCACAAGAAATATGAATTTCATAACAAAATCACTGTAGTTATTGAATGCATTCTATTATAAGTATTGTAGAAATAGATTAGCTAGAAATTAATATAGGTTGGATTAGATTTTTAATTCTGTTTTTAGTTAAGGACTTAGGGATATATGCTTTGTTAAAATTGTATTAAGCGAGCCAACCTTGGTGATAGGAAAAAAAAAAAAAAAAAAAAAAAAAATAATATATTGATAGAAAAAATTTAAATAAACTTAATAACTCATATTGTGCTTTCCCCATTAATAGAAATGTTATGAATTAAAAAAGGAAAAAAGAACCACTAGTGGAGTAAATTTTTTAGAAACTTTTGATATCAATGCAGTGAGTATCAAGAAAAAGGTCAGATATGGCAGAGGGTGCAGTGAACTCTGTACTACAAATCTTGCTTTGCTCCTCGAAGAAATCAAGTTGTTGGGAAATGCAAAACAAGGGATTGAAGACATCAAACGTGAACTGGAGAGCATCAGATCTTTACTCAAGGATGCTGATACAAGAGTTGCATAAGAAGCAGAAACAGGGGCCAATGAAGGTGTCAAAACTTGGGTGAAACAATTGAGGGAAGAAGCTTTCCGGATTGAAGATGCCATTGATGAGTACACAATGACGGCGGCGAGACTTCCTCATGGCAGAGGTTTCGTTGCTTACATTCATAAAGCGTGGTACTTCATGAAGATTCTAAAGCTTCGACATGGAATCGCCACTGAGATTAAAGATATCAAACTATCACTTGTCGAAATACAACGAAAAGGAGCAATCTACAACTTCAGGTACATTGATCAAGGGTCAGGCAGTGGAGGGAGAAATGTTATCCCTCATGACTCTAGAGTTGATGCTTTTTTCATTGAAGATGCTGAAGTTGTGGGTATTGAATCTATTAAAGAAAAATTGATTTCTTTATTGGTAGAAGGAACATCCAATATTCGCTTAGTGATTGCAGTGGTGGGCGAAGGAGGACTAGGCAAAACCTCTCTTGCCGGGAAAGTTTATAACAACGATGTGGTGAAGAAGCATTTTGATTGCCAGACTTGGATCACAGTTGGGAAAGCATACTTGAAGAAAGATTTAATACAGACAATTATACAAGAACTTTATCGTTCAACAGGGTCCATTCTAATGGAGGCAGACAAAATGGAAGAGAAGAATTTGATCACGATATTGAGGGAGCATTTAAAGGACAAGTGTTATATGATTGTGTTCGACGATGTGTGGAAAATTGAATTTTGGAGAGATGTAGAGCATGCTGTACTTGATTAAAAAAAAATGCTAACAACACGGAATAATGCAGTTGCTGAATTTGTACCGTTCTCAATAGCTCATATTCACAAGCTTGAACCCTTGTCTTCAGAGGAGGGATGGAAACTTTTTTGTAGGAAGGCATTTGGCTCTGATGACTCTTGTCCTCCAAACTTGAAAGAATTATCAGAACATATCATTGGAAAATGTGGAGATCTACTCCTAGCAATTGTTGCGATTGGTGGGCTTCTCTCCAAAAAAAACAAGATTGCTTCTGAATGGAGAAATATACTTGATGCTTTGGGGTTTGGGCTCAAAATCAAACAGCGATTCACATCTTAAAGATTGCAACAAAGTTTTGTTTGATGGTTATTATGATCTCCCTCACCATCTAAAGTCATGTCTTATATACTTTGGTGTGTTTCCGGAAGGGTGCGAAATTAGATTTGGGAGATTAATTCGCCTTTGGATAGCTGAAGAGTTTGTCCAATGCAACAACCACCTAATGATGCGACTAAATCAACCTTAGCAAGTGCACTAGTCATGTTCAAGTAATAAAGTGATGAGTTTGAGTATCGTCCTACAGAGATCAAAGTGAATATTTGTAATTACTTAAAACTACCTACACGTTGTTTGAGAAAACGAAATCTTAGAGTGTAAAAGCAACGGATTAAAAATAACTAAATTAAACAAATAAACAATGTGATGAACTTTGCAATATTAATGAAGTTAGGGTACAGATTTCCTCCTAATTATGCTTGACAACTACTCTTAATAAGTGTTTGTGTTATGAATTGGTAGGATTCTTCTAAGGCCAATTATCCTTATTCAGGCATAATATTCAACTTAATACAGATACCTATTCGGTTACTCTGAAATTAAGAAGCATAAATTCATCAATTCCTTATGACTAATTCGCCCTATTCGGTTATGAATTAGATGGACCACAAATTAATCCTAGAATCTCTATTCGATTACTTCTAGTTTTAATATGTTGCGCAATGTTATTCCCATAGAACAATTATGAACATGAATTAAGCAATAAACCCTAACTTCTCTATTCGAAACATCATTAAGGTAATTGAATCAATTCAACATTCGTAAAGCATTAAACCTAAACTCTTGCACAAATTCATAAACATAAATCTGCTATTAAGAATAAAAATTGTTCAAAACATAATTAGTGTTTCATCCTCCCCTAACAAAAGAGATTTACTTCATCCTAAGAACAAAGAAATAAATAGAGAAGAAGGAAAACATATTCAGACTTGAAAAGAAATAAAAATCAAACTCTTAATCTGATCTTCAGTCTTCAAGCCCCAAGAATGCGTCTTCTCCTCTAAAAAATATGCAAAATTCGTCTCTTGACAGCTTATCCCAATTATACTTAAATACCCAAAAGAGTCCTAAGTGAAAAAAGAAAGAAAAATTGATAAAAACGCGTTAATAGTTTCCGCCACAACCCTGGCCGTGGCCAAATTTAAGTCACCACAGCCTAGGCCATGGTGTTTCCTGGTCTCTTCGTTTTCTCTTTGTTCCACCCCCATGGCCATGGTGAACCACCAAGGCATGGTCGTGGCCTTCAAGAATGTTAGGTAATCTTAACTTCTTCAAGTTTTAAGTCTCAATTTCATTCCAATAGTCCAGTCTACTCAATCAAAGCCTAAAAAAAACACAAAAGTTATCCAAATCAATAGGTAACCATTCATATCTCAAACTTAACAAAAACACACATCAAAACAAAGGAAACAAATGAGAAGTTAACTAAACTAACATCAAAACAACCCTAAAAACACTCAAATTTGCAACTTATCACCTAACATCTAAGCTTGTTGCCGAAGAATACTTGAAAGAACTTATTGATAGAAGCTTGGTTCAAGTTTCAAAGAGAAAACCTTCTAGAAGAGCTAGAACTTGTAAAGTGCATGATCTGATGTACAAGATGATTCGCAGAAAAATGAAGGAATGCGATTTTTGTCATTTCTGTGATGAAAAAGGCTTGAGTCACTTTAGTAATCCTCGGCGTATTTCAATACACAAATGCACTAATGCTGTTTTAGAAAGCATTAAAAATTCAAAGATCCGATCCATTTGTATTTTCAATGTAGACAAATTGTCCGAGTCTTTCACGACTACATTTGTCACTGATTTCAAGCTCTTAAAGATACTTGATTTTGAAAATGCCCCTTTGGATTGTCTTCCTGATGGAGTGGGAAAGCTCTTCCATTTGCACTACTTAAGTTTGAGAAATACAAAAGTTAAAGAACTTCCCAAGTCCATAGGCATGCTTGTCAACTTAGAGACTCTTGATTTGAAGTGGACTTTTGTGAGTGAGCTCCCAGTAGAGATCAAGAATTTGAAAAAATTTCTTTGTCTAATTGTACGACGCTTGGACAACAAAGGTCCTTATGGAGAAATAGCAAAAATACAAGAAGGTTTTGGGGCTTTAACAAAGTTGCAGTAGCTATGGTATGTATATGCAAACACTGAAGTAGTTGAAGAGCTTAAGAAATTGAGGCAGATGAGAAAGTTGGGCATTAGGGTCGCAAATAGAGATGCAAAGGATTTGTTTGCTGTTGTCCAGAATATGAAAAACCTTGAAGGTTTGAGTGTATCAGTGTTCACAAGTGGAGAAGAGCCTCTTGATATACATTCCTTGGCTTCTCCTCCTTTATGTCTTCAGCAATTTTCTTGGCGAGGGATGTTTATTAAGATTCAACCAGTTTGGATTTCTAAACTTCAAAACCTAATCAGATTGCAATTGGATTTGATTGGATCTACCAATGATTCCATGACAATCCTTCAAGCTCTACCTAATTTATTGGTGCTTATGCTCTTTGTGCATGACTATCATGAGCAATTGCATTTCAAAGAAGGTTGGTTTCCAAAGCTTCAATCCTTATATCTCTGGGAGTTCGAAGGATTGAAATGCATGATGATAGAGAAAGGTGCAATGCCTAGTCTTACATACCTGTTGATTGGACCATGCTCATTGTTGAAGGAGATTCCAACTAGAATTGAGCATCTCAACAACCTAAAGACACTTGCATTTAATATGATGTTGAAGGAGGTTTGTTACATGATAAAAAATGAGAACTAGGAGAATGTCACTAAACACATTCCACAAATACATGTCAGCTATGAAGAGGTAGATAGAGTCGGATACTATTTTTACACTAGTAAATATCTGTCATCTCTTTTGGCAGAAGATTTCAAGAAGCTTATTGAAGAAATTGAGGCCGAGTAACGAGTAGCCCCATCGCTCAGAGGATCAACAGGTCAATCTCCTAAAACAAGTAAGTCTTTTGAATAGTGTGTTTCTTTTAAATTCATTTCTCTGCTATTAAATATTGCAGTTTTTTTAAGAGTAAACAAATAATTTTTTTTCTAAAATTAATTTAATCAGTCTAATGTGGTAGTAACTGTAATTAATCATCAATTATCATATGAATTAATTTAGCTGACTAATGTAAATATTCTATTGTCATGAGCAGATGAAGAATGATGTTAATGAATCCATCTTTTCCCGTGATCACCCAGGATGATTGGCTTTTTCTTGTAATAAAGGTTCTGTATTGCTTCATTGCTTGTAACCGATGTAGTGTCATCAATCATGGTGTTGTATTACTGTTATGGTCTTCCTTGTTGTCGGCCAATAAAAAACAGATCCCCTGTTTTACTCTATTTCAGTGGATTTAGTTTAAGTTTCTTCATGAAATATATAATTTTGCTCTAATTAACATGATGTATAATAACACCTAAACCACAAGAGAAAACACATTCAAATCTGTAATAAAAATTAATAAGAGAGTCATCCTATCTCTTTAACACTTCGAAAAATGTCATCTTGATTTTACTTCTTTTGTCCAATTATAAAGCGAAATATCTGGCTAGAAGTAATTCCTTATATTTTCATGGCAATTTGATGTAGGCTCTAAGGTAAAACTTTTGTTACCAATGGTGAAAAATGATCCAATGCTAATGTTTTTATCTATCCTATGAATCATACTCAAATTCAACGCTACTGTATGTTTTTTGTTGTATTTATTCGTGTGTACTCTCAATTGACTGCCAAGTTCTGATGCTAATGGTTTTATTTATTCTATGAATCATTTTCTCATTCAATACTAAATTTCAAGTATCGATTGTGTTCCTGCTTTCTGTTGTTACTGCTGTTATTGTAAAGTTTACTGTATGTGTTACCGCCATTGTGTCTATTCAAGTACTCTCAATCAACTGCTATGTTCTATTCTTGATATTACTGTATGAACAATCTTTTAATTTACGGAAAATGGTTATGTATATTAACTTGTTTTGATCAAATGATTTAATAACCCCCCCCTTTTTTTTTTTGGCTAGGGATTGTTTTGAACTTTCTGGGTTACTCTGATTTGCCCTGTTTCTAATCAAAGACATGTCCCCGGTTATAGCAGCTGTTTTCAAGGGAATAATATCGTAATTTGCATGGTATAATTCTAAACTTATAGGTAGCGTTTGGTTCAGGGTAATATAAGATTAATCCTGTAATCTTTGTTTAATTTTCAAGATTCCCTAATTTGGTTGTCAAGTAATAAAATATTACGTAATCTTTTATTGTAAATAGTGTTTACTGTTGTAAAATTGGGGGTAATCAGATTACCTTCCCAAGGGGTGTTAATATAAGATTATCGAGGTAATCTTAATTTTGACCCTATTTTGCGCTTAATATTTTATCATTTCGAACATATTTGCCCTTATATGTCTACTAATTAACAATCACCCAGACCCCCTACATTTGAGAATTTAGCTAACACACCCCCGCCACAAAAAGTTTAAAAGTTAACAAAATACCCCAACCATCTAAGACCACCGCTAGCCGCTAGCCACCACCGTTAGCTGCTGGCAAAAGTCGTCATATCGGCACAAGACTGGCAGGATCTTGCCAGTCGTGTGTCGATAAGGACATTTCTGGCCATGGATTTGTGATCCATGGCCGAAAATGACCAGATCTAGCTGTTTCACGGCCAACGATATGGCCATGAAACGCCATAGATCTGGCCATGAAAAGGCCAGATCTTTGGCAGTGAAATGGTCGTCGTTTCACTGCCAAAGATCTAGTCTTTTCACGATCAGATCTATGGCTGTTTCATGGCCACATCTTTGGCTGTGAAATGACCATATTAACGGCCAAATCTAGCCGTGAAACTGCCATATTCACGGCTAGATCTGGCAGGATTAGGCCTTATCGGCGTACAACCGGCCAGATCTAGCAGGACATTACGATGGTGGTGGTGGTTGCCGACAGTGGCTTGGGGTGAGTAGGGGTGATTTTGCTACAAATTAAAGTTGTATATGGTTGGGGT